GTTTATTACCGATTAAAGAACGATCGTGAAGTCAGAATTGAGCAAACTTACTAAGTTTCGAAATTATAGCTTTTTAAAGCTCTGATATTATGCGAATATTATATGATATGTTAAATAACTAAATATTGTCTTTTCTAAAGTATGTTTGTCGTAGCTGAATAACCATTCAGCTACATACCTATTATCATGCAAGAATTCGCGAGTTCGAACCAGTGTTTCACATTTTTTTTCCTTTTCACCTAAACAAGGAAAAAACAAATGCATTTTGTATGTACCTAGAAACCCAATCCATCGCTCACTCTTGGACTATTTTAATCGCAAAATACCCCTCGATTTGTTTTGCAAACTTTTCTACCAAAAATCTTGCTCCGATGTATCAAGTGTAGCTAAGTGCAGCTAAGGAAATTTAATTTCGATGGTAACTTGGGGAGGTAATTTTTTAATTTTCCCAGAAGTTTTCCTAATAAATGGGAAAAATCGTGAAAAAATGAGAAAAACAGAAATATGTACAAAATACATTAGTAAAATATTACAATTTTTTTCTGTAGATATCTTTTCTACCAGCAATTTTGCTCCGATTTACAATGATAGCACTTTTTCTAAAAGGAAATCTTACTTTTTAATTTAAAAAACAAATGTACGACTTACAAATAATACTACTATCCGTTTGGGGGTTTTATACCCCCAAGCAAACTTGTAAATGTAAACACTATGTAAATGTTATAAGACTGCGAATAAAATAAATGAAAAATATTCACATTGGTATAGTACCTACATAAAAACAAAACCATTTTTTATTTCCATTAAAAAAATTAACATTCGATATTTATTGTGGATACTGTGCAGTCTGCGTACCTAGGATTTCTCAATTAGGAGAAGGATAAACATAATAAATAAAGATGATATATTATAACAAATAATAATGCTATCAAAATTATTATATATAAAACTGTTTTCTTGAAGTATTTTTGCATAATACATAATAATAATTATGCAATAGGTACAATAATTATATTTGTATTTAGCAGTGCAAAATACGTGTAATGATTATTATTTTATTGGTAATAAATTATCAATGCTGAATCGTTACCGTTTATAATATTATACAGTGGAACCTTGATAATTTGAAATTCAAAGGGACTTCCAATTTTTTGACTTATCAAGGTTATCGACTTACTAAGGTTTTTGGGAAAAATTAAATTAACGAGTTTTTAAAATGTGTGTACGTGTTATACTCGAATTAATATTATTAATTAATTAATTATTATTAATATTATTTACTATCAAATAAAAAATACGATACTAAACATAATATACGTGATGAGGTTAAATTATGGGACGCACAAGCCAATTATACAAACGATTATAAAAATTATTCGTCATTATCCGTCTATACTCAGAACACACAATGTTCGAGTTATCTATAGTTTTTTTTTTCGAGTAATCGAGGTTTTCTCTAGGGAACAACCTGTATTTCGATTTATCCACGTTTTTGACTTCTCGAGGTTCCACTGAATTTTATTTTAACATGTCTAATGAAGAAGAGGATAAATCCCCCTTAGCGACTCCTAGGTACGTCACTGAATGGGTATAATGTGTATTAATTTCAAATCTATATAAATTAGATATGAATTTAGTCGATTTTACTGTCCTTACTATATTATACTTCCAGTCCATACAATATTATACTAATAGTTGTAATATTATAATTATTGTGAAAATCGAAGTATATTACATACTTAGTTAAACCTTAAAAACAAAAACATACTTAATCTCATCATTTTTAACTCTCTGTTTTTTAATATCCCAGTATAAAAAGTTAAATTAGAAAATAGGTAGATATTAGATAAGAGACCTAGATACTAAAAGAAAACCGCGTGCCTACCTATTATTTTCAGGTTTTATATAGGTAATTCATTTTGATTATGGTTTCCATAATATAATAATATTATATGAATTGCAGCATAATTTCCATATGTTATATAAAAGTTTTTTTAAACTAAATATAATTTTATTATGGTGATTCTTAGATGGTTTTTTTTAGATTTTAAGCTAAGCAAAACAATGTATTGTTGGTATTATTATGAAGTTCATTTTTTTCTATCTCTAAAGAATTTGTTGACCAAATATCTTGCTCTAGCATCAGGGGTGAAATATTGGATTATCAGGGGTGGTTTTGATAACAAGTTTTAGCTATTTGATTCACTGGGAAATCTTCTTTTGTGTTTTTTTCTGTCTTGTTGTTTTGGGAAACAATTAGAAAAACACGAACATTTAAGCATAATAACGGTTTCTGTTATTTTCAGTTTTTTGGTTGTACGATTTTCAGCTAATAATAATATATTATTAACACTTTCTAGACAAATGGTAAAACTGACGAGTGGTTTTAAATGTAAACCCAATCAATAAAACTATAGTAGTTATTATTCAATATTTACTGAGCTATATTATGTTCATCAATATGATATATTAATTATTTTATCAAAAAACATAGGTAATATTAATATAATGTTTACGATCGGTGTTCGGCATTTTTCTGGACCACCTTGAAACGTTGCTACCTGTCCAACATAACAATATGCAATTCTATACTATTTTCTATATAACACTACTTTATAAACATAACATATATTATTATACTAATGAGACCAAATATAATCTTAATGAAACAAATATATTTTCCGCGTCACGTCAGTAAACCAGCAATGCATAACGAACAATATGAATGTACGTCGTTATTAAGGATATTCAGAAAAAAAAAATGTCATAGGAACTTACTATTTGAATATTCATTTCTCATTATATTATTCAGGTATAAGCTAACAAACAAATACTAAACAATTAAGTATTGAAACGTCTAAGCATTATACGGTGTGTAGCTGTGTATACCTGCATACATTACGTATTATTATAATATGTAGGTAGGTGTATACTTACCCGTACACGTGTGTAGATTTTTTTATGAAATTTAGAAGTCATTATTAGTTTCATTTACATAGAACGAGCTATATAGTAGACCGTCAAAGAATTATACAGAGAATATAAGTAGATTATTTATTACACAACTTTTCTAGACATTTTTTTAAAATACTATTATTATATTTATATTCTAATGAAATTTGTATTATTTTAAAACCTATGATAAAACTCGACCAAAAAAATCAATACCTATAAATATAGCTATAATTATTAAACTAGACTTAATATAGTTATAACAAAACGATTATAATCCAGTCGGTTTTTTTAAAAATGTATTTATTTAATGCTTCAACCACAATCGTTAAATTAGCAAAATACATGTTTACAGCTGAAAATTAAATACTTAAGGTCTAATAAGGTTATGTTAACAGAATTTTACAAATTGTACAAAGTTTATATGAGTGAGAATAAAACTCATGAATTTTATACTATTTTCTTTAGGATTTCTTCTACTTTGATAAGATTAATTCTTCTATTACATATCAATACAGAATAGTTTGTTTCGTGAGTTCGGGCGCAAATGCAGTTGTAATTTTAACATTTTAATTTTTAATTTATAATTTTTTAATGATCCTGTTGTACCTACTTATAAGTATGATTTAAATAATCACGGAAACTATGAAATGTATGGTACAATGGTAATGAATAGTGGTAATAAAAACTACATTTTAAAATACAAATTGCTCAACATTTTTCGAGTTAACTACTGATGTATAACAAAAAAACACTGTTATACCTAAAATTAGGGTCTGTTATTTTATGCTGAATGTTTAGGATAGCTTAACATTGGACATATCCTAAGATTTTTTGACAACGCAATTTTTCAAAAACAAAAATATTAACAAATTTAAACAAAAATATATATTTGTACACAATAAGTTTATTTATATTTATACATATAGGAACCGCTTAAGGAAGTAAGCCCCCCCCCAAAAAAAACCCTGTATAAGTATATTAAATTAAGTACACGTAATAGAAAGAAACATCTCTTGGAAAATGAAATCAACCAAAAAGAAGGAACGTATTAATTAAACCTGCTATGATCCGGCAATATTGGTAATATTAGATAAAATAGCACGGCAACTTTTTTATGGGTACATTTTTCATTCGTCACAAAAACGAACACGATTTGAAGATTTTTGATTTTTCAAAAAAAAATTTTAATCATTTTTCTTCAACAACAAGAAAATTATTCTTTTAAACATTACAACACTAGTTGAAGAGCACTGAATAACCTATGTTCTTTTTTAGTCGTTTCTAAACATAGACAAATTTTTAAATTATTGGCGATTTTCGTGCTATATAATAGGCACTTAAAATTTTGGAAAATTTTTGTTTTATTGGGTTTTATGTAGATAAATTGTTTCGGCCGAAATAGGTTTATTATAAATTCTACTTATAAATCGCTCAAAAAAAAGTTTCTATTTTTCATAATATATACACGAAAAATACCGGCACTTTTGCTCCAACTTTTAATGATGGCAATGATTCTAAAAGGAAATTTAACTAGTGAGGTACTATAAAGAAGTCATTTTTTGACCTTACTATAGTACCTTCTTAGTCAAATTTCCTTTCAGAAAAAGTGTTATTATTGTAAATCGGAGTAAAATTGCTGGTAAAAAAGTTGTTCACAAGACAAAAAAAGGTGTAATATTTTTTAACTAATACCTAAATTTCGTACATTTTCTCATTTCATCTCATTTATTGAGAAAACTATCGAGTAAATCGAAAAATGACCTCCCCAGTCCGATTTCCTTCAGAAGAAGTGCTACATTTAAAAATCGGAGCAAGATTTCTGGTAGAAAATATTGCATAACAAATCGAGGTGTATTTTTCGATTAAAATAGTCCGAGTGAACAATAGCTGAGGCTCTCGTTACATCTAAAATGCATTTGTTTTTTCCTTGTTTAGATGAAAGGGAAAAAATAAGTACAAAAAAATCTTTTTCGAAACACGGGTTTAAACTCGTGAACCCTAGGATTACAATAGATACGTTTTTTTTTTTTTTTTTTTTTTNCTATCTACCCATCTTTGTCTTGGCGGCCGAGTGATCTTTTGCTCTTCGGCTTCCAGTAGATGACTTGGCCAATTGTCTGCTCTCGGCCTCGCCATATATGCCCTGCCCAGCTTATCCTTTTGATTTTCATAGTAGCTATTATGTCCGAATCCTCTAACATGTTTATCACCTCTTCATTCTTCCTTTGCTCATAGTCTCCCGTGTTTTGGTTTCTTCTGGGGCCAAAAATTTGCCGTAACACCTTTCTTTCAAATCTTGCTAGGTTTTGCTTGTCTGTTTTGGTCGTGGCCCAGGTTTCACACGAATATAACGCTATCGGGCGTATCATTACTTTGTATAGTGTTAGTTTAGATTTGATTGAAACTAGTTTAGATTTTAATATTGTCTTTAATCCAAAGAAACACTTGTTAGCTGAGTTTTATTCTGTTTTGAATTTCCTTGTGGTTATTGCCAACACGCTCAGTTCCACCCCTAGATACTTGAAATTTCCGACCAGCTCAAACTCCATATTTCTTACTATCAAGTTATTATGTCTATTATTTTTCCAAGACACTATCATGTACTTTGTTTTTTCTTCATTTATAGTTAAGCCCATTTTTTTGCTCTCATTCATGAGAGACTCTGCCATACTCTGAAGGTTGCTCTTAGATTCGGAGAGTAATACTATATCATCGGCGTATGCTATTAGTTTGATAGTCTTAGACTCTTGCAGTTTGACTTCTATACCGGTGTTTAATGCATTTCTAACCACCTCCTCCAAAGCGATGTTGAAGAGCATTGGTGATAGTGCATCTTCCTGTTTCAGTCCTGTGTTGACCATGAATGCCTTGGACAGTTGACCGTTAAATTTGACCATACATTTAGAGTTTTGAACACATGCTCTTATCATTCTTGTGATTTTTGCTGGTACTCCAAACTTTTCCATGGCTTTCCATAAACTTTCCCGATTAATAGAGTCATATGCCTGTTTATAATCTACAAATAGCATGAATAGTTCCTGGTTATATTCGTAGCATTTTTCCATTACTTGTTTGATAATATGTATCTGATCCACCGTTGATTTTCCCCTTCTGAAGCCTTCCTGGTACGTATTACCATTAATTATTCGGCTACGACAGACATATTTGAGAGAAGACAATATAGAATTATTTAACATAACATATAATATCCGCATAATATCAGAAATCCAAAAAGCTATTATTTCAAAACTAAGTCAATTCACTCAATTCTGGTTTTACCATCGTTCTTAAATCGGCAATAAACATATAAAAATACTCAAACGATTTTCATCAAAATTTAATATTAAAATTACAAAATACAAAAATATGTACTACATAAAGCTCAAATTTCTTTTTTTTACTACAAATGATGACATTTAAGGAATCTTTTGTTAAATTTTCAAATTTGTCTATTTAGTCTAATAATATTGTATCTCCAGAGTACCTACCAAATACAAATTGCGTACAAAACTCACAAAATTAGAATGTGTATAATTAGCTCAAAAGTGGATGAAATGTTTTGAAAATTTTTCTTCGACTAGAAAAAGCAAATATAAGTTTTATGTCAAAATGTCTAATCTTTATAAAGAAATTTAACTAAATTTCATTTAAAAAACCAAATTAAAAATAATAAAAGATTTATTTTCGTAAATTTTCCCGTACTTTCTGCATTCTTTGTCGATTTTTCTCAGTTATTAACGACTTTCTTGTTCACCAAATAGATTAAAAATTCAACAAAAAAGATCTATTAATATTTTTTTTTATTGGAGCAATATTTATAGTAGAAAACATAAACCGTAAAAATTAAAAAACGGAGATTTGTATGCCGTAATTTGACAAAAATCGTATGTATTGTATTTTTTGTTTCTTCCTAATTAATTTGAAAAATATTTTAGATATCAAAAAGCAACTTACTCTGTCAGTAAAAAAATATTAATAGGAACAAAATTGTTTTCTTGTCATTTTTCAATTTAAATAATAATTCTGGTAAAAGTATAACACAATGAAAACAATGAAAACAGTAACGCCGCGGTACACTATACATATTTGCCGTTTTACTTATAATTTTCTTTCGGGTTATTCCTAGTTATTTCGAAAACCCCTGGAAAAATCAAAAAATGACCTTCGTAAAGTACCACCCTAGTCAGATTTCCTTTCAGAAATAATGCTATCATTATAAATCGGAGCAAAATTTCTGATAAAAAAATTCTCAGGAAAAAAAACATCTTTGTAAAACCATAAGCTTCTTTGTTCTACTCAGAATCTTTTTTTTTTATATACATATTTATTTAATTTAGATAAATCAACAATCTGTTACATAATGTTACAATAAGAAGACGGATGGGGTGTACATAAAAGTTCTGAGGACGTGAGTAAAAGACGTTATCCATTAATAGCGCTTCGACGTAATTTATTTAAATATAATACAAATTATAAATTACTATAACTACAGCTGGAGTAAGTCCATGGGCCATTGTCATTTTAACCTTCACGGAGGATTGACGGGAAGTGAATGGGAGTAGAGGCTTGATATGAGAGAGTTGGTATATTAGAGGAGGTGGCAGTGAAATTTTCTATAGCGTTGTTTGATTGTGTCTTTGATGAAAAGGATATCTAGGTCATAATGAAGTGTGAGGTTTGAAATGTACGGAGGAACGTTAGCAATGAATCGGAGCACCTTCGATTGGAATATTTTAATTTTATTTGTATTTAATATTTTAGCAGAGTCCCAGAACTGAATACCATAAGTCCAAAAAGGTTTTAGGAGAAGACTGTATACAGAGATTTTCGTTTTTAAATTGAGTTTTGATGATTTAAGAATATTTTTAAGTAGAGAAAATCTATGATTGAGAGTAATTTTTAATTTATGTAAATGCTTAGACCAGTTAAGTTTTTTGTCGAATAATAAACCAAGATGTTTGACTGTATCTAAAGAGGGTATTTACTTATTGTTAACGTTTTATTATTTCTAGTTTTGTCATTAGCACTAGCCCATTTTCATCGTTTACAGGTATATTGCATGGTTTAAAATTCCTGGTTAAAGTCGATATTGTTCTAAAAGTTTTCTCAGTTCTATATTATTTGCATATTCGATTTCTCGTCAGATAGATAGTAATAGTCATTCTTGTCTTAGGCAATATACGTACACAATTGAAGATTATCAATAAAATTTAGAAATTTGGTTAAAAAATTAATGTTTAGGTGCTAGATAGGCAACTTATTAAGCATAAGTTTACTTCATTACTTATCAGAAGTTGTATAGGCAACATTATATACGAAATTGGAAACCACTGCAGGGCTTTCTTTTAAAATATTAATAGCGAAACATACGTATAAATTATACTCCGGCCTATGAAGTAAAAACACAGTCTTATGTATGTATAATAGAAGATCGTGAGTATGGTAATGATAGGTACGGTTATAGATTTGGGTATTTTCATAATAGTGCATCATAGTTGTTTTCAAACTTTTTTTGACTATGGTACACTTCGCTTTTCACAACATTTTCAAAGCAACTGTGAATTTTTTTTTTCTTTAATCATTGTTTAATTATTCACACAAAATTAGAATTAAGAACAGAATTGATTGATCGTACTCAAACGAGTCACAATCAAAAGAGGAAGAGTTACAACTTCATATCACCAAATTTTAAAATCACAAAAAAATTCATATCTTTGCCATATTTTGAATCTACAGGAACCTTACGCTACCTTAAGTTAATTAAATTTTTAGTACAGTAAAATCACTGATATACTTGTATTTTCCAATACCATATAATACATTATATAGCTGTGGTTTATATGTTTAGTTTTTATCGAATTTTTCCCGAAAATTGCACTGTATTGTGTCTATTATATAATATTATGTATTTATTTGTATAATAGTGAACATCTTTTCGAGTTAGAGTAATCAGATTTTTACATACTTTCCTTGTTCTACAGCAAATGTTCTCTAAATGGTACTTTTTAATTTTTATTGATACTTATTAGTTATTTATAACTAATACCATTGATTATAAATACTAGTGTTTATAAACAATGCTAATACCAATAAACTAATAAATACATTAACATCTTAATCATCTTAAACATGATAATTAGTATGTAGTATTAAGTAATATATTTAGTAGATCATGATTTCGAAAAAATTTTTCTTAGTTTTATTTTATTTATTACTGTATGTTTTTTGTATGACTGTAATGTTATATACGTATTGCAATATAAATATTAACACATTAACAATTAACATAAACGATGTTAGTAAATATCTCAGTTTTATTTAATAAACATTTCCAATTTAGATTTAAATTGAAACTTTAAAAAAAAATTTGTTTCTTCAGACACATTTTTAGAATCTGCATATTTTTCAACTTAGTTCTAATAACATGATGAACAGGTAAATGTTTTAATTTGGATGTATTAAAAAACTTCTTGTTTTTGTATTTATTAAATCAGCTACTGAGTTTAATGTATGACCATATTAAATTTTCATAGAATTTTAACATTTTTCACTAGGTTTTTTTTTTAGCTTTTTCACTATGAACCTGTTAATATTAAAAATAAAATAAAAAATGTATAATTATGTCATATTAATATATTAATACTATTTTAAAACCTATGAATGAAAAGTGCGAATACATGTATTCTTCAACAATGTCTAGTATAATTTCAAATAAATTAAAATTGTAGATTAATGATTAAGTAATTACAGTAATTACACTATAAAAGTATAAACAATAAATACTTAGCCTGCTAAAAAATAAACCATGCATTTAAAAACTGTTAAATTAGAAGTTTGAAAATAATTGTGATTCTGAAATATATCATTCAAATCCCAATTACCATTTGAAACAATTGCATCAATTTTATTCTTTAAAGCTTTATTTTATTATATATTTTTTTTTTTTTTTTTTGATCTCAGAATTCATATTATGTTTTTTTATAATGTCTTCAAGATCACTTATACTTATAATTATTATATTATCTAAAAACATCGAAGTTAACCAATAATTTAATACTTTTAAGTTATAATTTATGGTACAATTTTCAGATTTAGAGGGTTTTATTGCACTGCACACATATAACATTCTATACAATTGTAAGTATATAGGATTAGTAGGATAGTTATTAGGACCCAATATTTACCATATAATACTAAACAATTTTTAAAATTTAAATTTTCAGTTAGTTTTATTAGCTAATAAAAAAAAAAATTAGATCCTTATATAATAATATTAATTCTAAGTCCTGATTAGCTTTTTTTATTTGTACATAGTATGTGATGTAATAAGTATAGTGGAGTAACTTGTGTGCAGTGTAGTACTTACAACCTATTGCATTGTCTATAAATATTATAAAGATAATAAAAATATGGATATGACATGTCAGCTTATCAGTAATGAAGCTGTGTTCACTGTTTTCATATAATATAAGTTTATATTATATTATTATATGATGTCCCTGGATGGATCTTTACATTATTTATACGCTCCACTCATCTGCTTGAGTGGATTTTTTTTAAAAATATAACAAGGTTTCTGATGTTAGGATGGGCCAAGATCGCTTATGCGAGCTTGCACTGTTACATATTTATCAGGAAATAATAATTATACCGATAGATATCATTGAAAGATTCTCTTCTATGAAATACTAGAGGTTAGACTATATTATAAATGTATAACATGCATTATAATATTATATTTAATAAAATAAACATTTCTTACTTTAGGTAGATATTAAAGTTTTATATTTTAAAAATATAAAAGAGCCCAATTTCCATATCTATTAATACAAATTTTGTATCTTCATCGTTAATTTTTAAGGAATTTTCTATTTTAAAAGTAGGTGAAAATATATTTCACCCCCTCCCCCCACGCTGTAGGAAAGGCCATTGTACACTACTGTTCCCAGAATCAGTTTTTTAAAAAAAGTGTATTAATATTTTTTATCGATTGTTAAAACATGTATAATATAATATAAATGTATTATTGTACACCTATAATAATATAATATAAAGAAATCATACGATTGCATAGCGTTTTACGAATATTCATTTTTTTTTATATTTTTCTAAACTTAATAAATCTATTGTGTTTTAATATAATATATCAAATATTTTACGAAATAATACATATTCAATGGTATTTTCCAAACTATATTGTTATTGTCGCATAAAGATGTATATTGTATACAGAGTGATTCCCCAAGCACTCACAGCATTTTTTTTCTGATTATTTTTTTGCATATATTAAAATTCTAATTTTTCGAATTTTTAAATGTAGTTAAAGCCGATATTTTAGAATACTTAGATTTTTCACAACATTGAAGAAGCATTATGTGATGATACTAACTTCAGTTTTTAAATGAAAACCTATATTAAAAATTGCATAAATAAGTGGAGTACTACTTTAAATAAAGTTAAATATATTGGTGTCAACATTTTTAATTTCTGTCAACCAGTTAATGATATATTCCACTTTTATACTTAGGTATGGGGAAAGTGGTGGAGCACTTAGTGGGGTGATTGGAGGGTCGCAAGGGGTCGCATTTGTATTGATTTGTAACCCGTGAAATTTCTGTATCTATGGTTTTTCGTTGATTATTAGTTCTGAAAAAAAAAAATAAGTTTGAAAATGATAAAATTGAAATTATATTTTATCGATACTCCACCTGCAATTAAAATATAATTGATTCAAATTTACAATTCACTAGTTCACTATTATAAATTAAATTAAAATAATTTTTTTTAGATTCAAACTTTTGTATTTTTACTTTGATTTACTATTTTTAAATTTTTTGATGAAAGTTATGAAATATTTTAGTTATTATGTATATTAAAAAATTAAAATATTTAAACAAAAATTGATATAATCAATACATTTATAAGCTATTTCTATAAATACATTAAAATAGAGAACAGTTACAATTTAGAAATTCTGAATATTGTATTGTCATTGTAAATTGGTAGCTATAATCATAGATTATATTTAACTACAACTTAGTATATTATACTTTAACAAGTTTAAATGAAACTTTCCTTTGCGGCTAGAGTTATTAACATAAACCAAAATTTTCTTATTATTACTAAGAATGTTAATTTTTTCATTTACATTTTTAGATTATTAAACAAATATACATAATTAATTAATATGAATAATAAATAAAAAAATAAACACTAAGCTAAATTTGTTTACATGGTATTATTTTGTGTCTACTTTTTTAGTAAGCTTCTAAAGATCTGGTTGCATTTATGTAAGGGCAGTTCTCAGTAATTCTGTGAGATGATCATCAGTCAAATTTGAACGATATTTCAACTTAATTATTTTCATTTTTGAATAAAGCGATTAAAAAATTAATATCAATTTTATAGCACAGTTTTTAATATTTAAGTCACAAAGATATACACAGGATACATAACAAGACCCTGTTATCAGTAAAGTATTGATATCAAATTCATTGAATAGATATAGAGCGCTAATAACTAATAGCCGCGACAAGGGGTATTAATACATTTATAAAAAAGAGAAAAAATTTTAAAATTAAAAGCTTATTTAGACACTATCATAGAAGATGGTCGATGAAATATTGATGCCCACACACCACTAATATATTCGGTGGTTATACAGGGGATGCACTTTTCTAATATCCATAATATTCATTATTAAATATTTATGACTTCCAATGGATATTTAAAAGATATCTAAATGTTTGTTTTTTAGGCATTTTTAGATATGCTATTTCAATATCCATTGGTTGTTTGTAACAGTTATTCATGAGATGTCTTATATTATCTAATCCTAATGGATAACCACAAATTATTCTTTATATACTTCAGTATATGTATTTTATATCCAGTGGATGATAACTTGAGATATTTTTTTGGGTATACTAGAACAAATAATAGATAATGTTTATTTAATATATAATGGTAAATTACTATTTTTATAAATAACAGCAAATTTAACATACTATATTCATTTACTTTTTATAAAATCTAGCTTCTGCAGGTCTCATCCAGGTTTTGATATAAGTAATAATGTCAGACTCTTTTGAATCTTTGACATTTTTGAAAACAGAATTTATATAAAAATATGAATGATTATACTAAATTATTTAAAAACTGTTAAAATAATTAAGCATCAATAAAATTATCTTACCAATGATTATCTTAGACAGGTATAACATAAAAAAGGTGTTTTCCTTTTGTTCCAGTTCAATTGTGTGTCACAGCAAATTGATCGGTAAAGAGTTATCTTATGTCATGACATCTTTCAAGAACACCATTTTAATGACAATGGTACTTTTGAGTTTTTAATGTAATCAGTATTGTATTGAAATATTTTATGCTAATAAAAAATGTATATTTATTTGTAATTTAACTAAATGATATCAATTCTAATTTATTAGATACCTAGCAAGAAAAACTAGTAAAAACACAAATTTTCAAATTTGTTTATAAGACATAAAAAATCCAGAAAACGGTTGTAATACAGTAACTGCCCAACTAGTCAATTTAAAAATCGAAAGGTTTTTGATTCACCCTGAAAAATATTTTTTTTTACTTATTAAACAAATTTATTGAGATGTAATTTTCCAAACATGCTAATAGTCAAAATGTATTCGAAGACAATGAAGACCTTTAAATTCTGAGTGGACCGAAGAAACTTATACTTTTAAAGTGGATATATATATATATCCATCTTGCATATTATATATTGTATTATCAATTTATCATGTCACTACTATAATCTCATAGTTCAATGGTTATTACTTTGGTTCCATTTGCCGGTTCATTTAGCTTATCTCTTAAATCATATATATATATATATTGTATAATGATCTAAGGTTATCTAAAATGATGTTCCACGAGTTTCTTCAAAGATATCTTGAATCGAGCAATATTGTGGTGTTTAAATGAATTTCTTGTGATTTACAATACTTAGTGGTTTGATTTTTTTATCATATACTTCAATGTAAGTACTTACCAAATGTCCATGATAAATATTTTGTCATTTGTATGTTTCCAGCGCCTAATAGGGAATGAATTGAAGAGTCTCAAAGTTTTAGGATTTTTACCGGCCTAAAATTATACATAATAGATCAAATTGATATATACTTTCAATTAAAAACAAATATACTTTTTCGTGGCTCACGGAGATTATCTGGGTAATTCACAGGTTCAATTCAGACCTGGATAATCAGTAAACAAATGTTCTTATAGTTGAATCTTACATATTATGTATTATAACTTTTAGGTATTATTTTTCTAATATTTTTATTCGTAGTTAAAACTAGAAATGTATAATATATATTTATAACTTATATAATTATCAATTAGTGATTTCACTTACACAATTTTTTTCTTTCATTGTTTAGTACAATAATAGGTTGATAAATAATTAAGACATTTTTACTCATATAACTATATCCATTATCACATATCATATTCGTATTGTTACCTAGAAAACAGATTTTATATATCTTAAAATAAAAAACAATAGTAATTTAAAATTATTTTTTATACAGACATACAGTATCTATACCAAACATGATCTGTATTTATCAAAAGTGCTACTAACCTACATGCTCCAGTTCATGCTATATGAATATCATTATTAAGAAATCACAAACTATAATCTCAACATACTATTTAAATTGTTTAAAGTTTAAATTAAAAAATATTATATGTATAATATATGTTATATGTATGTCTGTATAACACCTATATATTATACATTGACTTTTTATTCCTACTTAACCCTGTAATAGAAATATAATATTAAATAATAGGTTTAAAAGAAAAACTAGATACTTTACAACCCAAATACCACTAAAATTGATTATAAACAATGCAGGATGAATGATAGTAGTAATGTGCATCTAGTCTTCACCCAGCTCTGTGGTTCTTTATAAAAAAAAAAGGTACCTAATTAAAATAGCTTGGTGTAAAATAATAAAATAAAATTGTTAATACCCATTCTAGGTACTATTGTTAAAACATTTAACAAAAATAATTTCTAGTAAATATGCATTTTAATAAAATGATTATCAGTATAGTTGTTAAAATAGTAAAATTCTTACTTATATATTTATTGACCATTACATTTACCTAAATATATTTTCAACAGTGTTTATTAAAATGGAAGAAGAACAACAGCGTTTACAGAAAGCTGCTATGGATGTAATGGACACTCTTGATAGACGATGTTTAAGAACATTACAAGTAAATTATTTATACTTTCATTTAAAATAGGTAGCATATTATTTGTATTCTTTAAGCATGTTTATTTAATATACCTAATGTACCTAAATTAAATTAAATGGTTTATTATCAGTAGTACAATAATGCAGGTTGAATACTGTCACAACAATGAGTATTTGGTAGGATCTAGGCAATTCGGTGAAACAATTTATTTATTTGGAGTAGTAAAATTAATACAAAATAATATGTGGCATATCTATATAAGTAATACAAGTAATAGAGTCTATACTAATCAATAAATGAGAAAATTGAAAAATTACCTAGAAAAGTTGTTCATAGTGATAAACATCTTTGTAAAACCATAAGCTTTTTCAATTCACTCAGAATCTAAAACTTTAATAAATATTAAATTAAAATTAAAATTCCCTGTTAAATATAACTGACAAGGATTCTGTATATTTAATAAAATTTTAAAAAATATATTAGTTTTAATTTTGTTTTATTGATTTACATGTTCTTGATGAATTCTTATTTTTATTTTTTATTTTTTTTTGATATTTATTCTAATTAGATAATTTGCAATATTAATTATAATATTGTAATTTTACAGATTCAAATGCACGAATGTGCTATTGATTGTTGTAAGGACACTACAAATAACATTAAAACATTGGAAACATGCTCCAACAATTGCTCAAAAGAACTTGTAGAAGCCCAAAACTATATTCAAAATGAATTTAACAAGTGGCAGGTATATAAATAATATATTTTATGTTATGGTTAAGTTTGGTTAATAGTTAGTATAATATTTAAAAATATTATTGAATAGCATAATGTAATAATAATATTATTAATTTGTTAATATATATCATATGTATTTAATTTAGCAAAGAATACTACGTTGTGTTCAAGATTGTAGTGATGCTGTTACTGATAAAATGCCTAGTTCCAGAAATCATTCAGATACAACCGAGGTGTGTAAAGATGATAAAATATTGAGATATCTTGCCTTTTTCCGTTTAAGTTAATCATATACTACTTATTTTGTGTATTTATTTATGTTTTATAAATGGTTGGGCAGTAATTTTACAATAGTAATAAATATATTAATACTTAATAATAATAAAATAGAATAGATGACATGCATAATAAAAGAATTATAGTTTGATGGTTTCATAAGAAAATAATAAGCACTTGAATAATATAGATTTTAATTTATGTTCAGAATCTGTAAAAAAATTAAAGTTACCAAGGTTACAAGAATACATAAATTACTTTTAAAACTTATGTATTTCAATAACAAAATTCAGTTAATTCATATTAATTAAATTGTTATACATTTTTAACAGTATATATTAATTTTTTTTTTAAATTTGCCTTTGTCCCAACTATATAGAATCACCCACCTTTCTCCTAAACTTTCATTTTACCATAGCTCCCACCTCGCCCTTCCATACACTTATTATTATCTGTCCATTATATACAGGTTTTACTGTATTATGAATGATGTTAGAAACAATAAAAATAATTGAATACATATATATTTTTTTTTTAGATGAAATATATAAAAGAAGCAGAAGCATGCGCATCAAAATGTTTCAATAAACACATTCAATTACTACCCAAGTTGACTGATAAAATTGTGGATAATATATCCAATAAAACAGTGCGATACTAATTTGAAAATTTTACACATTCTCTAGCAAAAATGATTATAATCTTGATGTATAATTTTATTTTATTTTGAAAAAAAGTACAAATCATAAAATATATTTGTTGTTTTTAAGTTTAATTTATGTATACATTTTGATTCCTCGAGATCAAATAGTTATTTTAATTTTATGTTGAGAATGTGTATATTATTGTAGTAGAATAAATTGATTAAAAATTAAAGAGAATATATTTTTTTTTGAACCTGTTCTGAGTGGAGTGAAAAGTATATACAGGTGATTTTTTGAACTAGCAATTTTATCTCGCAGGATTTTAAGTGAATTTGATTTCTGTTTTTTCTAATCACTATGAAATAGTTTAAGATTTACTTTAAAACCATTTTTAATATTTATCCCTACTCCAAATATCTTAAATAAGTACAGACTTTTTCAAATTGGAACCCCCCCCCCCTCTTTTGAACACAGATTTGAATAAAGAATATGATTTTATAAAAATGTTGATTGCACATAACATTAATATCAGATTTACAATTTAAAGTTTAGATTGAAGGAGTAAGGAAAGGTTATAAATAGGTAATTTATTAACCTTCCCTACTCCTAAACTTTAAAACTGTTTTAACTCATACATAGTAAATCTGATAATAGTATTATTAGTCTTATTACTGTTTACATAATTTTAGATTTATTTTGTGTATTGAGAATGTATTTTTTTTAAACATTTCTTGTGAAATTCTTTATTGTGAGACAAAGAAAAAACCTGACTCCTTACGTAATTTTGACAATTAAAATATGGACAAAAAATGATTAATAAGTTCTATTAAGAATTTTTGTTCTCAATGAATTTTTATTAGATTCAGTATTTAAAGTAAATTATTCTATATCCTATGTCTATTTACCCAATTACAATGGTGGCTTTCTAGTTGTGCAGAGTATATTTGGTGACTCAAGATTATTTTCTTTTTAATTGAATTATTTTTCCACACAAACTTTTAATTTGTATGTTTTTTAGGGAAGTTTTAATTTTAAATTAAATTTATTACTAATTGTCTACCAATACAATGGATACTGAAATGAAATAATAAATATTAAGTTACTCTTTTTATAATATTGTGAAAATAAATATATATTTTGTTACTCATTAAATGTTATTATTTAGAAACAAAAAAATATACATGGTGTCCCACCAAAATATACCCATTGTAACACATCTGAATATAAAGATAATTAAATTCTTTTTTTTTTTATAATAATTGGGGATAAGGACTACAAATATTTATATTGAAATACATTTTTTATGCTGTGTTAAAAAATTTGGTAAAACTAATTTACTATTATTTTTGGAAAAATTTAAAGACATCCATTTTATTTTTAATAATTTTTTAAAATTCTAAGAAAATAAGAGTACAATCAATTAGTGAATGCATACAGCCTGCTATATAATTATAGGTACTTTTCTCTGAACTTAAAAATCATTTTTGACCACTAATTAATATTTTTTATTTTTTAATTTTAAACGTCAAATAATTTTTAAATTTAAAATAAGCTGATACAGAAATTTAAAGTTATTCAATATTCAATGTTTGATAAGTAGATGTCATACTATATTTCATAATACTAAAATTTTAATAAGATCAAAAATAATTCTGGTTTCATTATTCTTTACTATTTATTGTATTTTTAATTTATCATAGATTGGATAACATTACTTAATGTCATCATATCTAAAAATATTGAATAACTTTAAATTACTGGTATCTAAACTAACTTTGGACATAGAAAGTCCGTTAAAAATAATTCTATGTGTTCCTCGATAACTTCAATTATCAATCAGATGAAACGCCCAATTTTTCATCTGATTGAATGTTAAGGAACACCGATTTATATTAAAACGCAGAATGCTCTATAATGTGATATAAACAATTATTTGATAATAGATGTTAACCTGATAATATATAAATGTATTATATTGTATTAAATTAGATTATAACGAAAATATTAAATAAATATAATATTAGTATTCAATTTAATGAACATATTAGAATGTAAAACAGAATAAAATGTTGTCTAAATGTTGATAACAACACATAATTTTAATAACACATTTCCATCATCTAGTAAACCGACTATTTTGTTTTGATTGATGATCCGATGCATCAAGAAGCAATCTGTTTAGTAATCAGATTAATCGAATTTGATAGGGAACATCGAAATCCATCAGATTGTTCATCTGATTGATAATCTAGCTTGTCCAGGAACACATGGATAAATGGTCAAAAGTTGGAGTTGCCATTTAATAAAAAAAAAGTTGTGCTCTAAATGCACATGTCTAACTAAGGTTAAAAAAAAATTAGAGACCATAAAAATATGCATTACCAAATATAAGAATCAACTACAAAATAAAATTCAAATTTCATAAATCTGCACAAAGATTGAGTGGTCTCAATTACTGTTTACACAATATTGTATATATTTTATGAAATAAAAATATCCATCAATCAAAATTAGGTTTATAATTTGTGAAATATTCAATGAAATATTGAAAATACATTAATCCTTTTTTAAATATAAGTTATTTCTTGGTTTAGTTTTTTAAAGTCATAACTGAATATATAATAATGGCAGGATTTTTTTTTAATATCAAAATAAAATATTCTACTAAACTTTCATGGAATGTTTAATGAAATATCAGTTATTTTAGAATTTGAATTACAATAGAACTGCCTCCTGATGTGTGGAACAGATTTTTTTTATTACATAGATTCATTTATTTTTAATCAATTAAAGTTTATAATTTAAATAATTAAACTAATAAACACAAATTATAAATAAAACACAAATATTATCAAATTGGGATTTGACATCTTTAATAGAGTTTATTGTTTCAGATTAAATTATTCAAATATAAATCTGATAAGATATACAAAACACAGTTAAAAAATTTTTATTTATAAAAGATATATTTTTTTTAACTTTTAATAGCAATAGAAAAATATATGTTTCAGATTAAATTATTCAAATATAAATTTCATAAGATATACAAAACACAGTTAAAAAATTGTTATTTATAAAAGATATATTTTTTTAACTTTTAATAATAATAGAAAAATATATACGTATATTAGTATTATTATAAATTCAAATAGTTGAACATAAAATTTAACCAGTCAGTAGTTGCGTATGAATTTGTATGTACAAATACATGCGAAACGATTAACTTTGAGTCCAAAACATATGTTGAGGTAAACATAAATCTATCTTCATCAAGAATAAATGGTGTATCAATTCCATTAAGATCAGGATCCAGAAGTCCATTCATACATTCTAGTTACTATTTAGGTAAAGATAAAATGACAAAGTGGTATAAAGAAAGTTGCACTCCTAGTAATAGTCATACACATCAATATAGTACAATATAGTAGTAAATTTACCCGGTGTAAAAAAAGTACCTTGAATCGCCTAATCATATTACAAAACTAACGCTCCTACTGACGGATTAAATATTTTAAAATAATTGTATTAATGGTTTATAATTACTAATCTATGTCTAAGAAATGTTAATTAGATATAATAAGTAGATATAAGTTAAAATAAAACAAATAAGTAAGATTTTGTTCAAATTTTGAATACAATAATACATTAGGAAAACAAAGTAGCTAAAAATTTATTTGAGAACCTGTGTAGTTACTAAAATTCATATTTAATGTGAAATAATTAAAACACATATTTTGCTAATGAAAAAATACTTGAACAATATTTTTTGGCTACTAAACCATATGGTTGTTTTGATCCAACTATAATGTTTGAATTTTTACTATGCAAATTCCATACATGAATTCCCATTCTGTCTTCAAGTTTAGCCATTACTTTGTTACTATTATTTTCATCAAAATACAGCCTCCAATCTTCCCAACTTATTGGACAGAATGCTTCAGGTTTAAATACCATGAATCCTTTGCACATTAGCCTATCCATATCATTTATCTAAATTAAAATATAAAAAGGTAAATAATAATGACTAATAAGGTTACAAATAATTTATGTTTTTAATAAGAAAATAAAAATAAATAATAATAAAAATAGGTGCTTTTAAATACATAGATGGGTAAGAAAACTAGCAAGATTAAAAATTCAATAACAGTAATACAGTATTCCTGTCTATGAGTGACACTTTATGGAAAAAAAATTTGGGATATAAATGATATAATATAATTAAAAACATTGATAGCTTGATTGTATGCTGACTTTGTATGTACCCACATATTTAGCCTTATATCAGTTGTGTATAATTTATCTACTTCTAACACAGACTTATATCAAATTACATTGTCTAATCATGTTTAATGTTAAAATAAATTGGTTTAATTTAATTTTTACTCAACAAACAGAAATAAGAAACTATGAAGAATAAGAAACACAAACAATTTAAAAAACAAAAAAAAAATACACCTAATAATAAGAAAACAGAATAATCTTGAAAATGTCCAGACTTTTTGTTTAGATACAGTTGACTATGTAGGATGAACAATAGGAACAGGTATTTAAATTCATTTAGAATAATGTATTGAATCAAGTTTTTCAAAAAAAATATTCATAAATATGAACTAATTAATTTCAATTGTTAAACTTTTTTTGATTGGAATAATAACTACAGTATACATAATAATTGAGATTTGTTTATATAGAAGTAAAATAGCTATTTTTATTTAAAAAATAGTTACAGAATAAAAAAAGGACACCTTTATAAGCTTTCCTCGGTATTCACCATAAATAAGTTATGCTGTATTGTGTTTTTATATTATTATCTATTTACCAAATATGTATTGCACATTTTTTGAAGTGCTCTAGTAATAACACCAGGACCATTATATCCCCAATCATTACCACGATAGTTATCAACAAAATCATTGATTGCAATATTTGCAATAGTTTTTCCAATATCATCAACATCAAAGTTTAATACAAGTGATGCAATTGATGAGCTTGATTCAGCACTTACAAAATTTGTAATCCCTTCTATAGACCTAAACAAGAAATACATAATAATCATTATTTTTAAAATAATTTATATTTATACAATAAAGTGCTTACTTCATTAAAACTACATCCAAATCCAAATAAGTCCCACCAAATTTCCATAATGTTAGAAATCTCAATAAGTCACTTGTATGAGATATTGGCCAATTACTCATGAATATTTTATTTGACATAACAAAATCGTGTACTGGTGTTTGGTAGGAATATCTCGTTAAGTTGATATATCTTAAATTAATATTTTTGTAGGTGTTTAAAGTATTAATAATATCAGATTTGTTGTTTACAAAACTAGCAGAAACAAATAGTACAAATATTTTTAAATTTGGATTTAAATTTGCTGCAGATTCAATAGCACAGCCTTGCCTCAAGTTTAAATGAATTCCTTTTTTGTGATTACAAGATGTTTCAATAAAGAAAATACTATTTTTGGTTACTTCATTTGGATCTAGTTCAAGTAAAGAATGATTATGTTTATTTTCAAAGTAACAATATATTAAATGTTTTTGTGATTTGTGTAAGAATTGACTTATGTTACTAAGAAAACTGATATTGTATACAAATATTAAAGTTATAAGTAGTACACATAAGATTCGAATATGAATCCGTTTAAGATATGGCCAACAAATCATTTTAATAATGTACTATAATATTTGTTTGAACTACAATGACTAAAATTATGCTTTTCATATAATTATTTTAACACACAATAAAGTAAATTAAAATGAGATTTTAGATATTTACTTGAATGTAAAATATTAATTAAATTTACTGAAAAATGAGTGAATAGTAATGTGAGAATCCCATCCTGAAAAAAATATCAATATTATTTTATTAAAGCTTATTATTAGCTGTTTTAATCTGCAATAATTTTTTTAATTTGCATTTAATATTTTAGATTTATTAATTAGTATAAATTATGCTAAACAAAGCTGTTAACAGCTGACTATAACATTTATCATAATTTTATATTAATATATTAGAATATCAATAAAACTTATTTAATAAGTACATACACATATTATATTGTTATTACCAAAACTGCTTTACTTAGTTTTAGTTCAAAATTTAAAGTCCAGTTGATTCCAATAAATATGACCACTGGTTAATGCAGGTAGCCACTTAATATGGACACAATGTCTGGTCCTAATTCTAATGTATAGCAATAAACATTTCAGTTAAAATGGGCAACCATTTAATGTAGGCAAACGTACCCACATAAAGCGGAATCCACTGTACAATGATTTTACATGAAGTTAAAATCCTTGTAAATTTAAGGCTTAATAATTCTATTTAATTTGATTGATATAATAAAATAATATTATCAGTTAATAAGCTAATTGATATAACCTTCATTTTTTTCAAAACGGATAATAACATGAAATAAATCTAGTTAACCTGTTACTTTTTATTTTATTTTTTTAAAAACATGTGTTTTTCGACACTGATATTGAAGTGTTTGATTTTTTTGCGAAAATCCTTTTTTATTAAAGAAGTTATGGAAGTTTGAAGTTTGTCATTATTACGGTATAAATGTCACTGCACTCACTCGGAGTGTTTAAAAAAAACCCTCGATTTGTTATGCAAGTCGGTTATGTAACAAGGACAAATTGATAGTGGGTAATAAAAATGTTTAATTCACATACAAATATTAGATGTTTGTTAAAGTACAAAAAAAAGTGCATTTTTTAACATCAAACTTTATCCACTATGGTCGAAATGTGAAAAAAAAACTATGTATTTAAGTGAAACTGTAATAATAACCAACTTTAAACTTACATAACTTTATTTATAATGGTTTCCGTAAAAGAATTTTAACACTTTCAAAATCAGTAGAAAAACATATTTTCAGAAAAAAAAAATTGAAAAGGAAACTATGTTCAATGTTTAATCAAAAACTAGATTAATACCAATTATATAGAGGCATATACACATTAAAGCCAAATATTGCAACCATTAAATGGTCATTTCTTAGACTAAATTCAATTTTAATTGTTAATTTTAAGCTTTCCAGTTAATAGTACCACAAAAATAATTATATTTTAGTGCCTCCTGAAGGATTTTATCTTTGAGGGTTACATCAATTAGCCTATTAATAACGAAATATGCTATACCTATTGTAAGCCTATGATTTATATCATATGTAATTATGTTGAATTGAAGTTCAACAACTTCCGTTTGAGAAATCGTAACCATACAACAAATGTGAGACATCTGGTCACTTTATTGTCTATTCTTAACACAAGGCAAATATTATTTTATACCTACCATTATACATACATAGTTTTATTGATGCCACAACTTGTCTCATAGAAATAATTTTATAATACAAGCCACAATAATGAAAAATATTAGTATGAAGCTAAATAAATAAATTAATATACCTTTACATAATATTTAACGCATGTTAAAAAGACATTAGAAATTTATAATACGTAAAAAAAATTTAACTGGTACTGGTGTGTCGATTTTAAAATTTTAAAAAAAATTTGATAAGATCCTCTTTTTGTCTTTATCATTTTATCAGCAATATTCCGTATTTCCTTCATTGAATCGCTTCTACTCGATTTTTATCAAAATGAAGAGTAACCAAACAGATTCACTGATTTTTACAGGTTTTAATGTATTATCTATGGCAATAGTTATGTTCGTAGCAGTATATGGGTGCATTCGTGTATCTCGCTTAAACGCTTATAAGCGCCACCGCACCATTCGGTTTGGTATTTTATAGCGCTCAAACTACAACCATGATTCTGAGCGCTACGTCATCGATCCGCAACCTCGAATCCGTTTCGGATCGCAATAATAGAATGAGAACCACTGTCTTTACGGTGGGTGAGGTTCGCCGTATCGCCGAACCTCACCCACAATGAGATACGGCGGCGGTCAGCCGCCACTTTTCGTGAACCGGACTATAGCTTTATGTCTAAATGAACCGTTCATAAGTGTGGCGTTGGCATAAGCGCCGTAAGCATCTAAGCATGCTACACGAACGTACCCAATGTCATATAGTATCAGTAGCAATCACGAATTAAGGAGGTTAGGTTAGCAAATATCAAGCGAAATCTTTTTGTTATAGTCCCAAAGTTGTTTTTTACAAATTTTGTAAAAAAAATCGAGTACTATACCTGTATGTTCAGTTGTTCCTTTTTGTTTTGCAATTAACAATTTTAAATTCATTTTTTATCTATGAGCGTAGTCATAGAACGTCTACAAGTAAAACGCGGGTAAAAATATGTTAGGTTAAGTTACTCGTGTCGTGTGATACAAGGCGAAATAAGTAATATTATCTACCCGTATTTAATTCATTGTTCGTACTGCTCTATTATCATTTACCAATACTGCATATCTATGCAGTACAATAGTGTGTGCAATAATAGTATAGTAGTGTCTAATATAAATACTTTCTCTAAGGTCGTTTACCGACTACCGAGTAATCTGAGGAAAACAATTAGTTCAAAGGCCACGGAGTACTACGACAGCCGTGTTCAACTACGGGCTTTGAAATTGTTCGAGAATTCGGCAGTGCATTATCCGACGACGTTTGTCAGTATTCAGTATCCAATTGATGGCAGTGTACGATATACAAAAACGGCGGCGTCGATTACCTATACGAAAAACGACTGACGAGTGCAATCGCATAACAACAGAGGTAAACCACGCTCACCTTCGCCGCGCAGAGACGAACGCGGGTTAGTGTTGTTATCCACGTCTCGGCGGTGGCCGACACCCCCACGCATTGGCGTGACGCCGCCGAAACGGCCGTTTTCCTCGCAACGGCGACTTGCACACCGCAGCTGATACGGCGGTGGCTGCTGCCCGACGAATTCGTCCATCGTCGGCACCCCCTCCCCCCCGTGATGATGTCCGCGCGCTCGCCGAATTTACCGCCCTGTTCTACACCGTGTTAATGGCGTACAAACAACCCCGATCGTACCGTTTTCATAATAATAATATCATGATTTTTTGTGTAACGGCGCGGAGAAGACAGAATGAGTGATAAACTATACCTATATAAATTAAATATTTTGACGATTCCGTCCGTGAAAATCGGAAGTTGGATCGCCAAGGACGGCGGCCAGTGGCCACCAGGTACAATGACGAACACTATGATGCATTGATGTGGCCGACGATGACAACGACAACAACGAAAAACGATTTCATTGAAATACCATCGTGTTGTACCGTGTTATCTGCTACTGCCCAATAGTCGTCGTTCCGTATTAATTTTATTAATTTATAATAATTTTCTTTAAAAAACTATAATGTCATCCATCATGTCTACTGACAAATATAGTATAATTATTATAAGAACGACATTATATTATGGTGTATTTAGTAGATGGTATTTGTGGTATTTTAAGTCGATCAGTCAGTTGGTAATGTTTTAGTTAAAATAATAAAACGATAGACAACAATATTTTTGTGTGAACAATTGTCCCCTGTAAGCGATTGAATTGAAATTTTTTGAGAGTAAATTTAATTTTCACTAATTATTATTGATTGGCCCCTGGATATCGCTCTTTGCTCATATTATCAGTTAATAATTATTATGCTCTCTGGGTGGTTGGATGTGGGTTACCAATGTTATTTGTATCACAGAGAAGCTTAAAAATAATTATATAATGAAGATTGAATAGTGGTTCGGTACTTTTGTACTTTGTGTTCTTTAAAAAATTCTTTGTACTTCCCTGAATATTATTACGTTTGTTTTTATTATTGTTTTAATTTTCTTGCTAACTATAACATTGTAAATGTTCAATATCGTATGAATCATAATGTGTCATACCTAATATATATTATTATTTGTTTGTACAGAAACTAAGTATAAAAAATTTGTTTAAACTGTCAGGTATAGTAACAATGATACAATCAAGTTAGGGTATTATTATTGAAAGTAGAACGGTGGGTAAACTAATGGTTGACGATAGTAGGATCTACCTATCTGTTTTTTAATCTATTGTAACCTTTTGTCCAATTGTCGAAATTTCGTAAGTTCATCTAATACCATTATACTATGTTCTAAATGGGACTCATCAACATGGTACATACCTGAGATTAGTCATTTTAAAATTGATGACCTAGTACCACAGTTAGAAATTTATGGGTTACTTTATTTTGATCCAATTCTTGAATTAGTACTTAAAAAAATAATACTATGAAACAAAAATATGATTTTAGATTCTAAGCATAGCGAGAGAGCTATTGGTTTTACTAAGATTTAAATTTTTTTATTATTTCTTCTAGTCTGTGATCATTTCTTTTTTTTGAAAGTACTAAATTGTACTTTATAGAGGTCATTTTTTGATTTTCTACGCCACTTTTTAAATAAAAGCACTTAAGTGGGAAAAAAACGTAGGAAAACGTACAATTTCATGATTTCATTATTTTATAAAAACACGGATAACACGTTTTCTACCAGAAAAAATGATTTTACCGAAAAATCACAAGGCTCTACTTTTTTGTTGCCTTTTTGATTTACTTACAGTATCAAAACTTTTGAGCTTTTAAGGAATTTTATTTTTTGGGAGTTTTTGCTGTAATTTGGTTATAAAAATACCCTTGAAACTTTATATTAATACTTATATTGGACTTACCTAGATGTAGTAAAATTTCCAAAATCATCTTTTTTTTTTTTTTTGAATGTTTTGAAATTCAATTGAAAAGAAAATCGGAAAAATAAATAAAAATGTGGGCACTTTAAATTATATATGATCGAACTGCACTCAGAATCGTCTTTCATCAAGCAATGGTGTTCATCAAAACCCTTTCTATTTTCATCATTAGTTCAATATAATATTTAGAAAATTACTGAAGTTTCAGTCAAATTTATAAATGAACTTCTTTCATAAAATATTTTCAAGATTTTAGTGGTTCAAAAATTTTCCTTTTAAATTTAGACATGATAATTAAAACCCAAATGCCACTGTTTAAATTCTTTGTAGCTAATTTTGTTTTATTTTTACAGTTGGTGAATGTATTTTCTAAAATCATATTAACATTCACTTAAAATCGACTATAAAATTAAAATTTGAATTTCAATGCTATTAAAATAACTCAACTGTCTATTTATTAAATTAGCATTTAAAATGTATGTTTTATGCTTTACCAACAGGAAGCTAAAATGTATAAAAATTTGTTTTAATTTAGCTAATAGGTATAATTAAAATTATTAGTTTTATATACAATTTTGGTATAGGTATTATTATTTTAATTAATATTGTAATAATTAAAACTGTATTTTTACATTAATTTACCTTGGTAGTAAATATTTATTTTATTATTATAAACAAGAATAATGATGGAATCAACTATATTCTAAAGTCCGTAATGTAAACTTTGTACAAGTCAGTAATATGTTAGCAATGCAACACCTTTCTACTTGAAATAGTTGTTTTAAAATAATTATCAGAGATTATATATTTACTATTAATATTTAAAAATATTGTCACTAAGATTCAGATTAAGAACTCCTAATTATTTGAATTAGTATTGTATTCCATTTAGATATATTAGTACAATTAGGTTAATAAATTAATTGAAATTGAATAAACACTTTTCTTACCTGTAAGGTCGTTGCATTGAACCAATAATAATATGTCTATTGTTTAATTTTTGTACTTAATTTTGTATTGTAAGTACACTAAATTTTCACCTGTTAGGTATATAGTTACAATTTAATTAATTTAAATTAGAAAAAAGTTTATTTATTTCAAAGAAAAAATATTAAGGAAATAATTTTATAACCATATTATTATTATAAATTATTACTTTTTTGAATGGAATATTTTATATTTTATGTTTCAGATTAAAAAAAAAGAGCACCTGATTTTGAAGACCAGACTAGTTTATAAATTATTGGTTTATTGCAAATAATTATTTTAATTGAAAGTATTTCATATATTAATTTTCTCAATAAATACCCTACCAACATGGCTACTACTGAAGATATCGATGAAGCTGAGCAACTTAGATGTTTAGCATTAAAATCTATGGTAAAACGATCAATAAAAAAAAATTCTAAAATAAAATCTGATGAAAGTGATGATAATGATATACTATTACTACGAGCAGCTGCTCTCAAAACAATTGCTCATAAAAAAAATACAAAAAAGCGTTCATTAATTGATAAGGATAATAAGTTAATAAAAAATAAATTATTAAGAGGAAGAAAGAGAACTTCAAGTAAAAAAGTATTGAAAATGAAAAATAAAATGAAATCAATTGAAAGTAAAAACAAATTTATCAATAATAATAATAATAATAATACCAATACAAAATTATCCATTGAAGACTTAAAATATAATTCTGAAATAAAAAAAGAGGATCAATTAAAATTTAAACCTAAAACCGAAACTATAATTGATCCTACTGTTGACATAAATGAAGACGTTAAGAAAATTGTTAGAAATGGAAGTATACAGCTTTCAAATTTAGATTCAGATAAATATAATGAAACAATGGTTTTACATATAACATTTAGTTCATCAGAAAGTGAGGATTCATCCAGTGATTCCATTAAATCATTCAGTGACTCCACTAAATCAAATGTATGTAAATAAACTAAAAATAATTATACAGTTTATTTATTTATTAATAATAATCTAACTAAATTTGATAATACAGAATAATGCTCTAAAAAATATACCACAAGTCACAAGTCTAGCCACAATTATGAGTCCCAACACTGAAACTGACATTGAATCAAAAACCAATAGGTAAGAATTTTGATTAAATATTTTTTTATTATTTTTTTTTTTTTAAACCTAGTTTATGATGTTATTGTACCTATATATATCTACTTTAACCTGTTATGTTTAATAACCCTTATTATGTCAATATTGTTAAAAGTCTCATTTGATGTTAATAATTAGGTATATTGGACTATTCTCACACAAATCACAACCACACTAAATTTTTACAGAGATAATATTAAAACTCAATGGAACTTCAGGACGCCACTAAATTCCTATGTCACAAGTTTCAATTTATTTCTATACATACCTACTTACTTATTTCATTGTACTCATCACTTTTGTAGTTGCAAAGTGTATCCGACTCCTGAGTGAGTGATTTTGACTTGACTGCCTACTTTAAACATCTTATTCATTTTTATTCAAATTAATTTCGAGTTTTTTATCTATTATTTTTATTTACATTAATTGCTACCTTTCTTTTAAAGTTGTACCAATAATTAAAATATTAAATTGGTTTTATTTATGCCTTTTTTTTAAATATGATTTTATTGTAAATATAAATAATTGTATACTTATACAATTATAACTTTAATAATTTATTTTAAATGTATTAAATTATAAACTAGTTCCACAATAATTTATTGATTTAAAGTTTTTTACTAATAACCTAGGTATTTTGTGTTGTTTCAATAAAATAACAAAAATGCTAGGTAACGTTTTTTTATGTATATTGTTACCACAAGGCTGTAACTGAAATATTTTCAAAGCAGAAAACTAATTTAATAATAATAATTGGTCAGATTGATTGACAAAAATCCCCTTCAAATTATCAGTTATGGCCTTTTGTTATAACATAAATAGTAAATAGATCACAATAAGAGATTTTATTTGTTTAAATCTATATTAATTTTCATTACTGTATAATTAGCTATAAGTTATAAATGATTATTTTGTGAATGTTTGTGTTTTTTTTTTGTTTTTTTTTATTTATTAAAGATTAAAATATCTTATGCAAAAGTTAGTCGAGCTAATGCAACATTGTGAAACTGATGTCAAAAACCGTGATCAGCAAATAAGAATATTTTTGGAAGCATATAACAAGTATCAAAACTATAATCAGTCATTGTACTCCACACTTGTGTCATTGCAAGAAGTCCGTGATGAATTAGCAAGTGTTAGTTCTTTAGATTTAAAAACCACCAATAGTTAATTTCATTAAAGTGAGAATTCAATTAAAATAATTTAAAAGAAAACCTGTACAGATAAACCTATATAAACATATATTTTTTCACGTTGTTATTTAATATTGTTATGACAAATTTTAAGGTTTTACATTACCAAAATAAAAACCACTAGCTTATTGACTGTGATTGTTATTAAATAATTTCATCCTAAGTGGATCTTATTATTATAATATTAAATAACATTTAGTTACATTATGAATTTTCATTGTGATTGCCATATTATTTTATTTTAAGACTAAATTTTAATTTTCAAAATAAATTTTCTAAAACATGTTGATAACTGTGATTTTAAAATTTAATAATAAATATAATTAAACTAATTTTTTTATTATGTTATACACCTATGAAAAATATTTTATTGATAAAACATCCAAATATAAAAAAAAAAATTGTTAATATTGGTGTTTATTTTTCACATGATGCATTATTAATAAAGGTAGTCTCTAGCAAAACTATTGAATATTTTATTTCAATTTAATTTAGTTTACATTTGCCTGTCAATTAATGTTGTATTTTTATAAGGCTGCTTTTCTATAATCTGATAAAATAAATTATTAGTTATAAAATGTTTTTAAAAAAAGTAAATTTGTTTTTTAAAGCTGCTATGATTAGTATATCCAAAAAATCCTTAACATGAAGGAATTGAATTACAACTACTACCCTATTTCAAGGAAAAAGTAAAACTAATTTTGACTGAATTGTACATGTTTGATTTTTTTTTTAAAGAAAAGTAAACCAACCTTTCTTCCTAAGGTAAATTCAATTCTTACCAGTAACGAGTTTTTTTGATCTACTGACCTTAAGGATAAATTAATCATAAACATTTAAAAATTACAGCATTTTTTCACTTTGAAATTTTGAGCTCCAAAAAGTTCAAATAAGAAATGCTTTATGGAATATGTATAATCCATTATATACCATACTTTTAAAACTTTAAATATATCCAAAATATATAAAATACATAAATGTATTTTGTTTAAAATTGGTCTATCCTCTGCTTCTCCAATAATGTTTTAAAAAACCTACAGACTATTGTAGGTGAGAGGTTAACAACATAGGCTATAGAAACATTTAATACATATATGTATGCAACAATTAACCATTGATAATGAAAACTAAAAAATTATTATTTTTTTACAATAAACCAAATTTGATAAACCTTTGTTTTTTGACAACCAAGTACAACTTCAATGAACCTGCTGAATTTTCAAGCATATCTGTTTAGTGTAAGTTATATCCACAGAGTACACACCAAATAAAAAACAAAATAAATGTAAAAATAGCTCTTATCTAAATATAAAGTGTCTTGGAACATTTTTATCTGAATCACAACAAAAAAATTGAAAATAATAAAAAAATCATATTCAAACATTTTCATTTTGCTCAATTATTATAAATGATAGGAAAATTAATCAAATAACCGCCCTAAAGTGATACTAAATAATAATAAAAAATATTTAGTAGTTTAAAGTAATTTAAGAACATTTTTATTCAACTATGATATTGGCTATATAACTAAAGTACATCATAAAACAAAGGAGTGCCAATTACTAACATACTGAAGAAGTAAAAACAAAATAATAAGTCATTTTTTATAAAGGATACCAATTTTATTTTTTGATTACTACATAAATACATAAATTAAATTATGGTTTTACTTAATACAGTGATACATGAAACATCAAAATGATGACTATTCAAGGACAATATAAATTTAAATTAAAGTAAAAAAAAAAAAAAACAGCTAGAATCTTAAATTACAAAAATATGTAATATATTATTATTATGCATTAATTTATAGATATAGCAATATTGATATTTTAAATAACTTAAAAATTTGATTTTGAGATTTTCAATATTATTTTAATACAAGTTTCATTTACTTCATTACAAAAAAAAACTTATTGTTTAATAAGATCCAAGGACTAGAAAATTGAACAATTAGCAGACTGAAATTGTTCATTAAATGCAAAGAATATTATTCTGAAATCAATAACTTGTTTTAATGTAACATAAAAATCTGACATATTTCACAGAAATAGTAGGGCAAATATATTTAATCTGAAGTAGATGTTTTTTAATGTATCAATATAAAATATAATAAATACAATTCAAATGTAAAATCCAAGCTTTTTCACACAATACTATAAATATTATTACAAACATACAAGGCTTAGGAATAATATTACACAGGTTATTATAGTATATTATTAAAGTTTATACACATATTATTATCATTTGATTTTTTTTTTTTTTTAATATAGTATATGAGTAAAATAATTTTGATCTTATAAACAAATTGACAGATAAAATTCATTATAATATTAATTACTCATGAAAATCACAATGATAATATTAATATGTATATATTATAATAGCGGTGACTTATTAATATTAATAATAAAAAAAAACCATAATATTCAAAATATCGTTTATTTAATGTATAATAATTTCATGACTTATGATTAAAAAAATATGACAGTAAAAATACAGCAATTACTAAGTTAAATACAAAATTAAATATGTTTATTAATGGGATTCATGTCTTTTTTTTTCTTACCTAGAACAAGACTTTTTTTCACATAGCTTCAATGTACAATATACTGTTATATTAAAATACATTTGTTTAGTTTAATTCTTAACATTATTAATTATTTATAAGACTTGTTTAATATTACAATAATTATGAAATTTATAGATATTTTTATAGTAGTCTTGTTCTTGGTGAACTTCAATGTTTTATTTTTCGTTGTACTGTAAATCGCTTTAATATACAATAGATAAAATAAGTAAAAAGTAAAAAATAATCAAAATAAATTATTATTGTTACAGCTATTAATGATTAATATATATTATAAAAAAAAAAAAAAAAAAGAATACTATAATATTAAGTATATAAATGTATACAAAATTTTCTGCTATTTTTATTAAAAAAAAAAAAAATAATAATAAAAAACAATTATGGAATATGAAATTATTATCAAAATATAATTATGTTTTTAAAATTATAAAGTACACAAGTGGTATTATTATTAAAGCAAATTTATTTTTATAACACTAATTAGTCGAAATTTTTAAAAGCAGATATAGTGAAAAATCATGTAGGTACTCCAATAAGTTTAACACAAAATAAGTTGATTTAAGTAGTATCACAACTGTACCTTATATTCTTATTACACATTAGTATAATAATAAAAAAAAAAAGTATGGTTCCACTTACATTTTTTATTAATAACCATGTGAAACTAAATGATCTCCAAGTTTTTCAACAACCAATGCAGCTTGTTGTGGTTGGACCGGATCTTCGTACAATGACACAACAATGGCTGCAAAAAAAAAAATGTTATATTACCAAACAATACAAAATTGTAAATAATGTAGAATATATTGATAATATGAAACAATAATTATATATTATGCACAATTTTTTTTTTAACAATTAGATGCAGCTTATAATGAATCTTGTATTAAATTGTCAAACTATTTTTACCAAATATTAACCTACCAAATAAAAACTTGAAATTTCAAGTGTCTAAAAATTGAGCAAAATTAACTGGTTTCAAAATTTGAATAGCAATAAATATTTTTTTTCAAAATTTCTAGTCTCTTAAAAATGTTATTTTAAACAAAATTTTAACAACAAAAAGACCATGGACTTTTTTACTGTTTTCATAAATTGTTTCCAATTATTAAGAAAGAAAAATTAAAAAACAACTTTCAGAAAACATGATATTCTTCAAAATGTTGTTTATCCAATTATTATAAAAGCTGGAAAATCAAAAACTAATCATTCAATACAACAATCAGATCTAAAATGCGACAAAAAATGTCTCATGTCATTTTTGTAATTAGAACAAGATTTTTGATAGAAGTAGTTTACAGACTGAGACAAAAGTACAAAATAAAAACAATACATTTCTCACACAGAATTTAAAAATACACTTAGCTAAATTAAATATAAATTTCTTAATCAAGATAAGACATTAACATAATAACTCAATCAATAAAAATTGAGTACTTACCCAGCTTTTGTTTAAACTTAGATAATATTAATTTAATTTAAATATAAACAAATAACTTTAATATTAATATAATTTAGTAAATACAAATGTACTATGTCTTAATATAAAATAATATAAACCAAATTTGGTTTCTTGATAGGTAATAATCAGAGCTAGGAAATATTAACACTTGCAAATTAATTTGGATGACACCTAGACCATTTTCCAAAAGAAACAAATTTATTTTATAATTCACTAATGTCACAGACATTTGTTTTTTTTTTAATGTATAGGCTATAATTATATTTTGGCCCAAACAACCACACACAAATATGTAATAAAACTATGACAGTCACATCATTATGCAACTAACAGATCCTATTTAAATGAAACAAGATTAAAAAATAAAATATAAAAAATATATTTTTATAGATAAAATTATTTTGCATACTTTCAAATTTTTAGTACTATGTTATAGGGCTTAATTTAGTTGTTCAGGTGCATATTAAAAACAGTAAAAATTAACTTTTTGAAGCTTTCACTTCCGAGTCCATGTAATAATAAGTTCATAAAACTTACTTTGTGTAGTTTTCACACAATGAGCTCCAACTTTTCCTTGTTTAGCCCTTATAACTTTCTCAGTGCCTGATAAATAAATATAGCGAGTATTTGCCAAAGTTATGCCAGTAGATGTTAATGTGTCTTGATTATCAAAACCCAAAGCAATTTTAGTCAATTCTTCTTTTGATACCTAAGGAATAAACAAAAAAATAGGAACTTTAATAATAATTATAACTAAATATTATACATAGGTAATTTGTATCATTTTAAAGGACTAAGTTCTATAGTGCTTGCTATAAAATAAATGACATACCTACTACTAATTTATAAAGAAACGAAAATATACTATATTGTTATATAAAATAACATTGCCAGTGGTTAGTATCAAAATTTAATCAAAAAAATGGGGTGCGCAGGCCTTAGTGGATTACCTAGCATCCTGTACTATGTAATAATATAACATAAATTATTACATGATTATTTAACTTGTACCTTTAACTGTAGCACCTAGATTAATATGTATTATATTTATAATGATAAAAATAAACTTTAACAACAATGATCATTAGAGCTTTATGAAAAATCTACATATCAATAGTTTTTTTTTACAAAAGACAAGTACCTATATAACATAATATTTAACAACTATCACAACTTGCTTGTATTGATAAATAATAGGTTGAGTTCCAAAAGTTATAATAGATGTATAATATATTGTATTGGAAGATAGAAACAAAAAAAATTATTAAAAACCTAAATGTCTTTTTAATCTGACATCTAAAATAAATATATTTCTAAAAATATTATATGAATTATGGAATTCAGAAAATATAAATTTAATTAAAAAATAATAATTACGAAGGTACTAAATTATTTAAGTTTTTATTACACTGTTAATTAGTTTTTTTTTTAAACTATCATTGATATAAATTGTGTAAAAAATCATTAATTTTTAGAAATAGAGCAATTTTATTACTAAACCAAATCAATGCTTGTTTAATCTTTTAAATAAATTTTATATAATTTATTTTAATATTTATAATGTGTATATTTTGATATTAAACTATTTTGAATCATTCAGTCATATTTAGTTTATTAATAACTACTCTAAAAAAATATTTAGGAGTCAAATTAAGTATAATAAGTTTTTAATAAATATATAACATGAATATCACAAATGTATTATTCATATAATATTATTATAATATTTTGATATTTTTATTTTATGAATACTATTGAGGTCTGACACATAGGTCACATCTACAACAGCCAATCAGAAAACATAAAAACTGGCATCATGATAAGAAAAAATTGATTATTTCTAAATAATCAAAAAATGAATATTTACTTTTTTATGTAAAATATGAAAATAAGAAAGACATTTTGTAAATTTAATACTCACAGAAAATATTTCCATTGTGATCTTTTTTGATCACTTTTCGTTCTGTCATAGATAAGATAGGTCATAGGTAAGATAGTTAAGACATTTTTAAGATAATGGTGTCACTGTAATGTAAACTCATTAGGTTTTCAAAAAATTCTGTTTTGTGATAATTGGTTTAGCCATTTAAAAAAAATTAAATATGTCTTTTTGTGAGTGAGTGGATTTAGTTGCTAGTGTATACATATATTTCTAATTTCAATTACAGTAAGTCCACGTATCAAATTTTAGTTATATGTATGTATTTATGTATACTTTGTATAATTCTTATAAGTAATTTAATTTCATCAACCTTTTTCAGCTAATACTGTTATTGGTTTGGTTGACATACCTGTCATATGTAGGTACTATTTTTATTTATGTATTAAGGTTATCTAAAGATTTCCAATTAATTGAAGAATGCCTTCAAATTATAAATGATGAAGATTCACAAATCATGAAAGATTTTCACAGGTTAAGCAAAATCTTTTAAACAACTTAACGTGTTACTGAGAATTGTATCATGATGAAAAAAAGCTAGCTAAATAGTCAACACTACTCAATTTTAAGGAATAAATTGTAAAGAAGTATGTAAACCTAATTATAAGTTTTCATTATATGTATAATATGTAATTTAATATAATTTAATACAAACAATTAATAATTTTTAAATAAAATAATTGGGTGAATCGTGCCATTATAATAATTAAAATAATAATATGTTTATAATAATAATACATTATTATTTATTGATAGGAACCCACTATAATAAAGTGTACGTAAAAAGTGCTTCAATTAACGTTATGTTTATCAGGAACCTAACCTTAACATTAAATGAGGACTTATTGTAGAATATAATATATATTTAAGCAAGTCTCTAAATCAGTAGAAATAATTAATAATTATTTCCATGCAAGATCCTAGATAACACACAGGACCATTACACAATTTCAATTATTCTCAAATGCAGATAATTACACAATTAATGGTACATTCCTGTTATACAAGACTATCATGACTACTACTTCTAGCATCGCAATTCACAATTATCTATTATTACCTATATTATTAATTTTTGTAATGTGGTGTTTCCTGTATATTATGATTTTTAAAAGTGGACTGTTTTGCCGTTGTATAATAATTATGTTAATCACATTTGTTGTGTTTGCTGTTAATTTTAATTTAACTAATTTTGTATTAATTAAATAATATTATGGACGTTTGGTCTTTACTTGACACAAAAGAAGAAGCAGTAAGGCTACTTCATAAACGTGGTATTTAACACATCCAAAGAAAATGCAAAAATGGTCATAACAGTGGCGTCATTTTGGTTTTTGAGAGGAGGAGCAAAATATTTAACTGACCCATAATACAACTGAAAAAAAAGCGTTCGCTAATTTATCCGTTACAATTACATTTTTATCTCAATACTTATTGGCTGATTAAATCATTTTATAATTGCTATCATAGGCATGAATAACCCATTTTTTTGAGAGAACGATTAAATAATAAATATATATGTAAAGGGATAACTAAATATATTACCAATTACCTAATGTATGATTTAATTTGAGATTAATTTTTTTCTAACTTATGTTTTATTTGCGCCGATATGTATGGAGTATAATAGATGTAATTCCAAAAAATATAACCATGTCACTATGGACATCAGTATAATCATAGAATAAATTGAAATATAAGAATAGACACTCTCCAAAAATTTACAAGGACTCTTATGAGAACTCGCCAACTCGGCAATTTCAGATACAGTGCAATGTTAACAAAAAGTACAATAAAAAAAATTGCATACAATTACCACACTATCACAATTATAATCACAAATCAATCTTAAAAAACTGTAGTTCAGGGTGGTCGTATGCAACACAAATCATGAATTATGTTTGCAGGCTAGTGGCCCAAAACTAACCTATACCCAGCCAATAGAGGTCCGCTGATGACAAGGAGAGGTAAATACTTTCCCAGTCCCTCCCCAAATGATGCCACTGGGTCATGATACAAAACCATACTTCAGAAAACTCATATTTTGGAATTAAAAATTGGCAAAAAAAAGGTAAGTGTCCAATATAACACTTAGTTTGAATAGTCATCTCTCATTTGCTACTGTTATATGATTTATTTTTGCTTGGACTGAAGGGTCAACTTCTAGAAAATGATATAAACAAAATTTGAAAACAGACAAAAATACTGTCATAGACTGAAATAATTATTTGCGGGAAGTTTGTGTTCTCAGTATTGAGGCAAGAAACCGAGGAAAAATTAGAGGACTTGGTAAAATTATTGAAATAGACGAAAGCTTACTTTCTAAGCGCACAAATAATGCACGCAGAATACTTCCATAAAATGGGTTTTTGTACTATATCATAAAACTAAATAATGTTTTTTGGTTCAAGTTCCTGATCGAACCATGTCTACTCTCCTAAATGCAATATTATTAAATATAAAAGAAAAACAACAATTTATTCAGGTTGTTAGAGTGCATACAACTCTAGCAAACTTGAAAAAGCTGATTTTGAAATAACAGGATTTTCAAAACAGGATATTCTCGAATAACAAGAAAGTATCCAATTAATAAATAAGTTAGTAGGTACATGCAAATTAATAGCTACCTACTTGGATCGTACATTTACCTACAGAGGATAGGAACCTATCTAGGTTGCAAAAGACCAGGTTCACATTGACAAGCAACTGGTGGTGATAGCAGAGTGATGGGATTGGGATTTACCATGTTAAATATTTTGAAACAACGACGAGCGATGAGCGATTTTGATTATACATCTTGAATTATAGTCGCGTAGATCGAGTATTGTGTGTCACTTGCAAATGTGAAACTGGCCTAACAAGCAGAGCCGAAAGTTAGGTTAGGTAGGACATAAAGCTAATGAAATCAAGATCAAATGAAATAAATATCGTCGAAAGATGGGTACAAGACACAGAATAAATTGTATTGCCAGGAGCACAACATTGATGGGCGGGTAGGTACGGGCGGTGGTGTAGACAAACAGTTCCCGGAGGTCATGCCGTTGCAGAACGAATAACAATCCCGACAACGATGACCAGGCGGCCTGACCGCGTGCGCACCCCGCCGACCAAACATGCTTATTATACTCACGTCGAATCCTTCTGACTTGGCCCAGACGTTACCATCATGTCCGGCGATCGCCGCTTTGGTGACGCACCTGGAGGCCAACAAATGTTTGTCGACGTAATCTTGCCAAGACGACATGACGGCTGAGCGTTTCGAAAGCGGAAGAAGAAATGAATGAAATAATATTGTTGTCAGTGCGACACCAGATTACGACGGTGTCGATCGGTGCGAGCGGTGATAACCCGGCAACGGAAAACCAAGAACGATAGCGAGTTGTGGAAGAGAAGCGAGTCGGGAAAATTAAACGAGAGAAAAAAATGACTGAAAAGAACGAAAGAGACCGAACGGCTAAAACAGACGGCAATCGGCGGTGCTGATGTGTGCGTATCGTGTTCGATGTGGACGCGTTAGTGACGAGCCTGCGCGTGCGCGTGTGCGAGTGCGTGTGTATGCGTGTGAGTGACTGTACCACTGTACTGTATAAAAGATACCCGGCGGCGTAGATATTGGAAAAAAAAAAAAAAAAAGAACAAAATGATGACAAAAAAAAAACCGACCAATTGACGTACGCGTGTACCAACTTATCGTATCGATGCGCACCGGCACCATACCGGACGGGACAGTGTTGCACGCTGTAGTTGTAATAACCGTAATCGTACGATAATATTTAATCATAATATCAGAGCACGGAATTGAAGTTTGAATTGTACAATTGATTTTAATAGGTACAATACTATCATTGGTACACAATAAATTTCCTCTCGGACATAATATTATAAATGTATATTTTAATTTCCATTGATCATTCAATGTATCACTCAATTACATGGTGAAATGGTGTAAGCATAAAATAGATGAAATCATTGCACCTATTCTTTGGTGTAGGTAAGTAGGTATTAAGTAGTATCTACCTAATATTATATACGATCGTTAGTTTAATAGTACCTAATTGATTGTGGTTTTGGACACAATTTTAGATTTAAACGGTAGGTACTAAAATATACTAATAATAATATTAGTGTATAATAATGCATTATAGTGTCCCACGAAGTTATATTCATCTCGAAAGTATTAACTATTTACGGAAATTTTTGTTTTGACAATTTAAGAAGTAACGAACAGCAAGTATTTATTTCAGACCTTCATCCCTGGGGGTTTCGTAAATTTCCAAGGGGCACGCCAAAGGCAGAGCAAACTAGGAATTTTTAAACCTTAGGAAAAAATTAAGAAAATACGCTCAATGATGACTTTTTTGTAACTCAAAAATGCTCATAATCGGCTTATAGCTCATTTCACACATCATATCACATGTTGTTTACGTAGTACCTGTCCTAATGGCATACATTTTCATGGGGTGGTAGGTATAGATTTTTCTGCGGAGGGAGGAGGTAATAACCCCCCTGTCACCCCCCGAAATAAACACTGCAAGCAGCTCTATATCTTTGACCCATTAACGAGATATTCCACTTTTAAATTTAAATACGGGACAGTATATAATGAAGCACTAGGTACTCAAACGCCGCGACGCGCGCAGTGCCGTCGTACGAATGATGCTCCACTTACATCAGTACACCGCCACTCTCCCTTTACTAAAATTTTAAAGTGGAATTTCTCGTCAGCAGATTGACGATAATCAAAAATGTCAATACCAAAATGTATTTAAACCAATACTCCCAGCGGCAAATACAAAAAGAGGGGACGACATGGGCACATGAATATCGTTCCCCCTTAAGCTGTGTTTTAGATTCTAAGCGTAGCGACTAGCGAAGGGGTCTATTGATTTTACTAGAATATGAGTTTTATATTTTTTTTTCGTGTGTGTGTGTGTGTGTGAACAACTTTTGTACCAGAAATCTTGCTCCAGTGTATAGAGAATAGCAATGTAACACCTTTTTTGATTTTCTCTGTAGTTTCATTAATAATTAGAAAAACCAGAGAGATATACAGAGAGATCCCGATGTTTGATAATTTTGCTTGTAAAAGTTGACAATAGTCACAATTTCAGCACTTTTTTTAAACTGTGATTTGCTTAGGTTGTTGTACTGTGTGACTTTCGTGGTTTTTTTTTTAAATAATAATATATTATGAGTTCGCTTTTGTTGAGTTGGACTAAGAAATGTCCAAGCGATTTCTCAGAAATGGAAAAGCCTAGTAAAAATTAGTTATTTTAGAGTCTACTAAAAAGGCTATCGAAAATGTTGAAAGTTCTAATCGTGATATGTTTACATAGTCCAACTTGATGAAATAAAAGTTATTATGATGGTTTTACATAATCATATGGTTAGTTGATTTCGGTTAATTGTTGAAAATACAAATGTAGATTGTACAATAAATTGGAATATAAAATAATAATGCAATTGGGATTTTTTGTCAAGATTATTAAAATTAATATTTTCGGTTATTAACATGGAATAAATGCTACGCTTTTATATATTATACGCTTGAAAACAGGGTAATATATTCAGTTAAAAAATACCTACCTCATTTCACCTTTGTATCACACGTTTGTATCACTACTAAAATGAGCAGTAAAATAATCGTGTTCTTTAATTATGTAGGTACATTATATGAATATCTGCGTATAGAATGAAATTGTGTAAACGCGTTCCGGTTCGTAAAATTTTCCATTTCGAGCACTGTATGACGTTGTACCTACAACCGCCATAGCATATTATTATTTTGTGTTTAGTTTAAATATAATAAAATATTGTAATAATCTACAGTAGGTACCTACTGTATAAACATACGTTACCTATAGCGATTATAATTTAAATAATTATTTTAGGTGCCTATCTACCAATAAAAAAATATGGTAGGTACTACCTATAACTAACTAAATAGATTATAGGGAGTCTAGTCCAGTCTGCTATCATATTAGTACTTACTCTAAATTTATATAGTAAACATATTTAATATTCTCGTTATAAATTAGAAAATGGTTTACAATGTGTGTTCGGTAGGTGTAAAATAGTTGAATAATTACATGTGTGTACAAATAGCAAGTATACATGATGTATCTGGACAATTTCACTCCGGAGGTCCGGACAGTTGACCTTGGCAGTTTTTGACCAAGTTTGATATATTTTTCCCTCCGGCTGAAATACCATTGAGATCGATCAATATCATCGATATCTTTTTTAGACCCTTTTGACTATTACGATTGAGAACGCTCAGTTTTTATAATTCCACGCAACGTTGCCATATGTATAATAATCTGAAAATTCAACCATATAGTAATCAAAAAATATATGTACATTTCGACTTATATTTCTTACACCGTATCTACTATTGTTTCAGATAAGTAATAGCGTATTACTGAATCCATCAATGATAATCTATATAAATACAACGTTAACGAATAATCAAAAGATACCATATACCTATATAACTACACATTAGTGCATTACTCAATACCTACCTAATGTATACAATTAAAGTGCATTATTTACAGCACTATTGAGGATAACTGGACGTTTATTATCTTAATATATCTAAGAAATATGAACTTGATCCTAAAAACTTAAAAATAATATTCTCCTTATATTGTCATAAAAATTATAAAAATATATATAAAAAAAAAAAAATCAATATTAATGAACATAAATAAACACTTTGATAGGTATGTAATTTCTTTCAAGCCTGGTATCATAAGGTTTTGATTATTACATATGTTAAAACCCGCTTTTTATTAAATTTGAATTAATACAATACGGATTAGCGAATTTAACTCGATACCTACCTATACACACTAGACAATAGCATTGAGATGGTACTGATAATACTAACAATTTTCAATTTTTAACCGTTACATTATTAGTTTAAATACTGCAGTTGGAGTGAAATATTATTATTACGATAAATTACTCTCGGTATTTATTATAACAAAATACTGATCATCTTATTTTATAAAATGTGTACAATAAATATGTCATATTTATTTAAATTTATTTATCTGTATAAACCTGTATAATCTGCATAAACTATTTATAAGTTGTCTTTTTGAATTACCCACTGCCTACCCTAATAGCCATATCTAGACATTCATTTGCTTAGGTGTATCATGCGGATTTATTAATTGTAATATTGTATTAAATATAATATTTTCAATACAATACCAATGAATGTGTATTGTGTAATCGACAAAGAATTTATTTTAGTATTTACGACCTTTCATACCTATAAGATGATCCGATACCTAATCATTAAGTACATCATGTTTTCATTGATGGACTACCTACTTACTCTTTAAAGTTTAAACACATGGTAGATAGGTACTGACGAAGGGTGACGGTTAAAATTACAATTGTATTTAATATTTATTTATTTATTTTGAAATGGCAAAAAGAAAAAATAACATTATGATGAATTTCTTTATTAAAAATCCTAAACTAATTATACTGGAAAATTAAATGGAAAGCACATCACATACCTACCTATCTAATTTATCTTCAAAGTTCAAAAGTGAAACATTTAAACATCTAGGTTAAACATCAAACGTAAATATTAATGGGCATTATTTTAATCAAACTGTAACTTGTGAGTAATGAATTGAAATAATATAAGATACCTAATAATAAATGTATGGACACCCGATGACTTATAAATTCCCTATAATTAGAAAAAGAAATTTCAAATTCCAGTTTAACTAGTTAAAACGGTTTTCTTGGCTAGCTTACATGACAATAGATAAACAAGGAGAAATGTGCAAGTATTGCGTTTTATTTGCCAGGGATTTCGGAGGAAAGGGAAATCATTAACAATTGAGATTATTACCTAGTGGGTAGTTAATAAGCCTTTTAATAAATGAAAATAAATGGAAAATTTATCCCATCATAAGTGAATATAAATTTAGTTATTTTAGAAGCCTACAGGAAAAAGTCAACTGATACTGAGAAAGAATCAGATAAGTATTGGGTAATACACTGTTATAATATTTCAAAATTTTACATTTAACTTAATCCGAACTTTTTACATTTATTCCACGTATATAAATGGGGCAGATTTACAAAGGAAGTTAGAGTACTGGTGAGTTAAAAATTACTAATTCGAATATTTCTTTGCACCACCAGAAATTAAAGCCAATATTTATGCCACTGTATAGATATGTCCTACCTTTCTTAAGTTTCTTTTAGATAACT